ACGGCCAACGTCTGAATACGGACACGGCACCCAAAGAAGAAGAAGATATAAATAGTGATTTGATAATTCCCTTTTTAATATTTACATTGTGGTTTGAGAGATACTTTATGGATATGTATGACCGTAAGTCTTTTGGCTCATAAGATTATTGTTTATATAATATTATTTATACATACAAATTATGACACACGTATCTACTTGTTATACCTATTCTTATTTTGCTGGCAGCTGTTCAGAATAGTGCAATTGTAGACTTAGAATATTTTACCAGGTTCTGGAGCCAAGAAATTCTCTTAATCTTTGGTCTCTTTTTTCATAGACTATCAGAGGAAAAGAGAGGAGTTGGTAGGAAGAAATATTGGTGGTTCCGAAACCTTCGTCAAGGTATTGGTTTATCCGAAGATTCACTGTTACATACCGCTTAAAATCAAGAAAAATATCGGCAAATTGTTATGGAGGTGTCATATGGACACACTACGGAAAGAAGAAGCGCTATATATACTGTGTGTAGTCAACTGTGGTAAAGTTTCACCTTTACCAATCCCTTCCAATGTGTTGTCTGCGGACTCACTCTCTGCAAATCTTATTGTATAGATGGAAATTATTTTCTCTACAATATTAACACAATGTCGACAAATAAAGTAGTAAAGACGGCAGGCAAGAGAAGATTCTCAATAAAAAGACGATCAGTACGAAGACCACGAAAACAACGACGGAACTACAACTTACTGGAGGCACATTGAAAAACAGACAGTCATGTTTACCTACACAAAAAGAAGAAAAACAAGAGTTCGATAGATGTTCACACATTCTAAGATGTACTGCTTTAGAAGAATTGACTCCTTGAAATTGAAATGGTTCATCTGGATGTACCACAACATAAATTTCCAACTTTGCTATGTAGCAAGTTCGAGCGGCTACGAAAGAAAATATTTTTATTCTTACTTAGTGGGGTTTTCAGACATAAACATGTGAAAACCACATCTTTCACGAAAAGCAAGCAATATTTCATAGACGTATTCTCCTAACGAATAATAGCTTTGCAATTTTCATTAAATATTTCAACAATTTTCCTTCTTCCCAATGTTAGGAATAACTTTATTATAGCTTTTAGCAAGCTCGGATTTGCAGTTAACTTTAACCGCTATCGAGGAGAATGCCTTCATGCTTCTTTATATAAAGATCGAAGTGTACACTCGAGCGATCGGGACATGATGTCGTTCAGACAAGAAAGAATTTTATTTTTTGCCACGTGTTATGGACAAATTATTTTCTTAAAATGAATACTACTTAAAATGAAAAATTTTTGCGAAAACGTGGTTACTCTCCATTTTTACATCTATCAATGAGGATGAATATTTTTTTAATACCGATCTTTTCAGTATGAGTTTTTGATGTATTTATTAAAATTCTACTTAAACAACAAGGTCAGATTGTGCCTTAGTAGTGTCAAAATTTATTCGAGATTACTTACAGAACTTAAAAGAATGTTCCCCTGCTGTTTATTATTCTAGCAGAACTAAATATGCATATACGGTCACAGATAAATACGATTTAAGTAAATATTTAATAAAACATGTCGAACTTGATCTACCGGTAGCATATAAACAATTAAATTAGTAGAGGAAATTATATACATACATATATGATGCGGGGAAAACGGTTTAATATCCTTGGAATAATTATGATGGGTAAAATCGAAGGAGGCAGGTGAATCGGCAGAAAAAAGATTCTTGATTGAAAAATATCAGAAAATGGATCGGGTACGTAAAGTAGAACAACTTTTCAGAATAGCTGAAGACATAGGTTTGCCGTGTTAATTGTCAACGTCGAGAGGAGCTTATAGAGAACGGTAGGAAGAAGAAACTAAGATATTTTTTATTGGGATACAATGCAGAACAACCAAACAAACAAAAATCGAAGCAGAGCCAATATTTGCAATAAAAAATGACATATATCAAAATTTCATACAATTTATTTTTTAAGACTACAAAGCACAGAATCAAATTAACAGACAGTGGAATTCGCTAAGAAAAAGACGACGTTGAAGATAAAAGTATTTTTCCGGGAACGAAAATTACGCTTTACTCTATGCCATTTTATTTTCAAAATAATAACTTTGTATTTTTATAACGACACAAAAGGACTGCTGGCTATATCAGAATCTTCTTTATGTGCCGTCTTCTACCGAGGGTTGCCGACCATCAAACGATAGGTTTCTCTGTTTTGTGCCGCATGTATTATGTTCGCAGCTTCTGGTATTTGAAACCATTCTCTCAAGTTTCTCAGCCAGGATTTCTTCTTTCTGCCCAAACCTCTTCTACCTTCAGACAGTATATCAGAATACTGAGGAGATATTTGCGACAATGGTTTGTGGAGAATAAGGTTCAACCACGAGTTGTATTAATATTACAAAGAACCCTCTGTACCAAAATATGCAAAAATACAAATGCTGCGCTGGACAGGTCACCTAATAAGAATGGATAATAACAGAACACCTAGTAGAATGCTTCGTGGAATTATGGTGGGACGTAGGCCAGTAAGAAGACCAAGGAAGAGGTGGAAAGAAATGGACGATAGAGAGATATTGAGGGTGGATAACTCGAAGAGAGCAGCCAAGGAAAGGGATGCTTGGAGGCGAATTTGGAGAAGGTCAGGCCCCGACTTGGACTGTAGCGCCATATCAAAGAGAGGGTATATCAGAATCAGAGTATACATTAAGTGATTAGCGCCTTTGGTCGGCAGTTCCAAAATAAATGGAAACACAATGGAAACAAATATAAAAGAATTCCAATTGGGAGTTGGATGGAAATAATATATCTAGTTCTAACAGAAATTAACTATATTCAAAATGGGATGATTTCATCTAAAAATGGTACAATTTGTATTTGGGGCGGCAAAATTGGATAAACAAAATTCTCTTGTTTTTTGTTCCTTTGGGACAACAGAGCGACAGATCGATATTTATGTACAAAAGTCAAAAATAAGTCAAAACAGTTTATTACAAAAATAACTTAAAGCTGCTTAGACGTTTTTTGAAAAAATTGTAAAAATATTAGTTGGTCATTTTGCAATAACCGTCTATCCCTCCGAAATGGTAAATACACAGAAACAAAACATTGTGATATTTTGCTTTAAAATATACCAACAGCCTAAAACAACCAGCCGCAGTCGTTTAAAGTTGAATTATCAAACTCCTTTGTTAAAAAGGCATACAATATTTTGCTGACCAAAATTTTGACTATCAAGCAACAGTTCCAATATTTTATATAATAAACAATAGGTTTCGTTATATAATAATGTAATTTTTGTCGGCATTTATGGCACCAACATACGAGTAATCGCAAAACATATTATGTTACCTTTTCGGTACACTATCTGTGATAAAATGAATTTAAAAATTTCTTTAATCAATTACCGAACTGACAACACAGAAAATTCACAGTTTTACATAATATACTTTCGTACTTTACCATTAAAGATAGAGCCTCTAGTTTGGTGCAATTTTATTTATTTAAATGAATATTTAAATATTTAAATAAAATTTTAATAAGTGTAATAATAAATTTTTTCATCTTTTATCAAAACCCAGACAATTAATTCCAGAGCGAAGAATCGTCTGCTGGGAAACAATGTACGAAATATTTTACTTTTACATTGTAATTATGACTTCTGAGCACGTGTCAAATGTGTTCTTTTAATAAATATTTTGATTCGGTATGTATGTTTATGGTATTTTTCGTAATGCGCATAATCCAATTTTTCAAATTTTTATTACATATTTTTTTGCATCACATAGAGTCTTTAAGTATATATCCGAACTACTATACTCGCTAAAACGACACTCAGTCCTAACTGCAAGACGCAAGAGTCTCGCAGGCTTAGTCTTGTTCTTGCTTAAATCTTGCACGGTCAGTCTTGGTCTTGCGAAAAAGCAAGAACAAGACCAAGACTGCAAGACCAAGACCGATTTTGGGCAACACTACTAGAAACATACTCGTACGAACAATAGTTTCACTAACGGACATTTGGCCGGGTGGACCAGGGTCTCGCTTGCTGCACTTTTGCGGCGAGAGGTGACCAAACCATTGCAATCTATGTTCTTGAACCTTTTTTGAGACTATGGTTTCTCTCTCCTTAATCACGTCATTCCTGATTTTGTCCCTTGTAGTCTTACACAACATCCATCGTATCCATTTTCATTTGTTACCTCCATCCTCTTTACTGCTGTACACCAACATAGGTCTCATCGCACTCTTGTTTATCTTTCCTTTCAGCTCTTTCCGGATTTTGCAATCACTGAATACTTCGCTCATTCGCATTCACTTAAACCAACCAACCTGTTTCCTGTGGACAATTTCTCAATATAGTGTCCCATTTGCCGTTATTAAAAGCCAATGTATTTCTTCCTTCCTCCTTCTCTATCCTTTATCCTTCGTAAGGATGTGGTGACGTTATGGGACGAATGGTTGTTATCCATTCTTCTCTCTCCTGGGCCCGGTGTGCTCAGACAGAGAGTAACCGGTAGCGCACTTTATTTGGTCTGACCATCTGCGTGGCGATCTTCCTAGAGTTCTTTTACCATCTACCTTGCCTTCAACCACCAACCTGTCCATGCCTTCCATTCGTCTGGTAATGTGTCCAAAGTACCTCAATATATTTTGATTGATGAATATGGTAAGCCTAATATTGATGTCGAGTTCTGTCAATATTGAGACATTTGTGCGATGTGCTGTCCAGGGTATGCGCATTAACATTAATAGAACAAGACGAAATTTGACGCGAAAGACCTTTTTAGAGCATCGACTTAAAAAAAAGAGTTGTCATGATGATTGCCAACCTTCCACAGAGCACAATTTTATTTTATTATTTTGCTGGTAACATATTAAAATAGTTTAAATAATTAGGTAAAACGTTTTATTCGAGACCAAATAGAGACGATTATGTTTATATTAAGGAAAAAAAGATTTGAAATATATTTCTTTAAATGACTGACTTACCTAGAAAAGTAATATTCCAATTGCTGTGCAAGCATTTGCTTAAGCTGTGGCAAGGGGTAAGCTGACTGAGAGGCATTTTCTTGGGGAGCTGAGGGAGTTAGAGGACTAGGCCCCTCAGCTCCCTCTGCTACCCCATTAACGGCTACATAGTCTGGATGGGTACCCATGGCAGAGCTTGACTCAGGGGTGGTACTGAACACCACCCCTGAAGGCACTTTGCCAACATCCCCATTCATGTACGCGTATCCTGCAACAAAAAGTTACGATTAAAAATTAAATCTAAATACCGATCCAACTATCCCAATATTTCTTAGATGTGATAACAGAATGGTTTTTATTTTATAACATAATACGTAATCAAAAGTAGAAAATAACATGTTACTTGTATATTTTATTTATTTTTAGGTTAATGACCTAAACTGATGATTTTCGAATGAGGGTTCTCACATACCTTGACCTTGATTGACCTTGTTAACATACTAGTTATAGTATATAATATACTTATACAATGTCGAACTAAACATATCTAAGCCTTAAAGATCGGCAAAGAGAACAGATGATTAGGAATGAATAAGGATTACAATGTAAGCATCACTTACGTTGTAATCCCAAAAAATGGTGTTATGTATGTATTTCTATGTCTTCGAGTTCGGAAAGTTTCTTAGTACAATAAGTATATGCAGCCTGGTTTAGTTTAATTTGATTTTTTCCGTTTTTTCTTTTTAATTACTTGTAGTTTTCTACATATGCTGTTCTTTAAACGACAATGGAAGACTAATATTACAATTTGCAATTCGGAAACTGAAACTAAAGGTGAGAATGCTGGTGCTGAATACGGTACCACGGTATGATACTATCTAGTGATCAAGATAATAGCAAACGGAGGAGCAAACGAATATGTGCAACATAGATAAAGTACAGCAAATTCGGCATTTGTGGTTATGAGATTTTTAAATGTGTGGTAGTGATCTCGATAGAAAAATTGTGGGAACGGACAGACCAAACGACGATTCTCCAGAAAACCTCTGAAGGAAAAGATTACAAGGGTAGGAAAATCTTGAATAAAGATGTAGAGGCTGGCAGAGAATCGACAGGGATGCAGAATGTTCAGGTAGACCCTATGCAGAGATAGCTAAAGGAACTAGGTAAAAAATGGTTGCTCAGGACCTCTATAAAGATAATTATTTTTCTAATAACTTTTTTACATCACAAACTACAGAGATTTTTTGAAAATACTTTTATTTGCCAGAAGCAAATTTCTAGAATTCGTTAAATAAAGTTGTATATTTTTTGGTTTCATCTTTGTAGTGTGAATCGAAACTCATAATTCGGCACGACAGGTGAGTACACTCAACCATTGGCCAAAATAAGATCTTACACCGGCAAATACGTTTCAAAATTACCGCAGTAACGTAAAACCGCGAATGGGATTACATGATAGCAATAATAGGGTACAAATAAATGGCCATCTGAACGCGTGCATGAGGCTTTTCAAAACGTAAGGACATCTTGATCAAGTGGCTGAAGTATCGTAGTTGTGTTATATGACAATAGTGATGTGGGTAGTAGTATAGAGTAATTGTCCAAAGTGAGGGATTTATGCTTTAAAATTAAAAAATATTAAAATAATAAGGTTTATTGTTCTAAAATAATATGGTTTAATTTAAATGTCTAATACTATAATTCCAAGAACAAATATATTATCAAACTAATAAGTTTTTATAGGATAAGCTAACTGCAAACAGGTGTATGTTCTCAAAGAGCTTAATAGTGTGTAATTTTTTTTATGAAAATCAGCTGAATACTTTTGAGCTTCGTCGTACAGGTTACACGAACCTCATGGAAGAGTAATTGTCGACACAAAACACATTAAAAAACATTAGAAGGTCAACGCATCTTATAAGGGTAAAAACTTTTTAAAATTAAGACCTTTTAAGGTAAGACCCACAAATTGGTATAAAATACCTTGTCTGCTTAAACATTCTATTCATTTGAAAAACCACAGACAGGTAATATTGGCATAATTACTGTAATTTAAATCATCTATCTTTGTTTATCTTTATAAGACAACACCCAAATATGGGTTTTTATTATTTCAGCATTTAATTAACTTTGTATCGAGACCTGAAGATGCTTTGCATATTGTAGAAAGCGAAACCGGTCGTCTAGATAGTTAAATTAAATTGATTGTGAGTCTTATTTATTATTTCTTTTGCCTATTTAATGGTAATTAATTATTAAAGAAAAAATTCGTTCATGTTAATCAAAGCTATTTTTTTAATATGATGATACATATAAGATTGTCTGATAAGAATGAGTTGCATGATGGAAAATTACGGTTGCCAGCTGTTAAAAACGCAAGGTATCAAAAATAAAGAGAAAGAGAAAGCGTGCAACGAAACTGATTTGACAATAATGGCGAGTAACAAATTATTCTGATCAAGTTGTTTCAACGAAAAAGTGTATTTTTCAGTATAAGTTTATAATATGTATATTGTTAACACTATCTATCGACGCATGCACAATGGCTTTAAAAATTGCAAAACTTACACTCGCCATGTCAAACTGGTATTACGCGCTAGCGTTATTTTACTTTATTTTTTATACCTCGCGTTTTTAACAGCTGGCAACCCTAACTAGCGACCATTTTTTCTCAGAGAACCTTATATCATCATATTAAAAAAAAATAGCATTAATTTTAATATAAAAAACATGCATATACAGTAATACCTCGACTTAGGCTACATCGACTTACGCGAATTCAGAGCTACATGATTTTCAAATATTGTCGATTCGTCATATGAGTACAACACAATCGTTCGATTATCGATGTATTTCAGTTCAGCACATTTATTTTGTCGGTATTTCTTATCTACAATTTTACTACGAACTAAGTGTTCGTTACTTTTATAGCGGGATTTTTATTTTATATCTATTGAAGATTTGAAAGAGTAATGAGGTCATCCAAAAAGAAGTAAAAACTGATGCTTCTGTAGCAAATAAGAAAAGAAGAACGTTATTCTTTGGAATGTAAATGTGGAATGTAAAAACTTAACGTAATTACAGATTTTGAATTAAAAATGAAATTCTGCGAACTATTAAAGAAGTTTGATCTATCGGAATCAGCGGTCAGAACACTATCAGAATCAACGGTATAAAGGGCAAGGAAAAAATTTCGAAGCTGTGAGAAATGCACAAACTTTAAATTCCACCATCGTACCTAAACGTCATGGTATTATCGCCGAAATGGAGACAATGTTAAAATTATGGTGTGATACTAAGGTAAATGTGAAAAATTGTCCTATTGATCAGAATACAGTGTGCTCCCAAACTATGCTAATGTTTGAAAGATTGAAAAATGATACTGGAGAAATCACTAAGGATGAACAGTTTAAAGCTAGTAACGATTGGTTCAGCCGATTCAAAAGTCGCTGTAATTGGCATAGCATTGCAGAAAGCGGAGAAGCGGCAAGTGCTCATAAAAAGATTGTGTCTTGTTATCCACATAAATTTAAAGCCATAATAAATGAATGTGGCTACACCAAATAAACCATAATCTAATGTAGATGAGACTGGCCTGTTTTAGAAGAAGATGCCTAAGAGAACTTTCATCGCACATGAAGAGAAAACCTTTCCAGGTTTTAAGGCTACCAAAGATCGATTGACAGTGATAGCGAGGCCAAATGCAACTTTTGATTGCAAGTTAAAACCACTCTTAGTGTATCGCTCAGAAAATCCAAGGGCACTAAAAAATAAATCTAAATCAGGCTTGCCCGTAATTAAGACGTCTAATCGTAACGCTTGGCTGACAGCTTCCCATTTTGAGGATTGGTTTGGTCATAATTTCTGAAGCCGAACGTTATTGCCAATCTAAACAAATTCCATTTAAAGTGATGCTAATTATCGACAACGCTCCTGGTTTATCCTTCTGCAACTTTAACTAGTTTTGACTCACGTGTGAAAGTTGAATTTTTGCCACCTAATACAACCAGTTTACTTCAGCCAATGGATCAGGGAGTCATTAAAACATTCAAGACTTATTACACCAGACGATCATTTGCACATCTCCATAAGTTTTAAGAAAAAACGACAAGCTCTCTGTTAAAGACTTTTGGAAACAATTCAACGTGTTAGATGCAGTGACAATCATTGGACAATCTTGGATTGAAGTTTCACAAAAAACGTTGAATGGCGTCTGGAAAAAACTGTGTCCTTTTTTTTCATTGCTAACACTGAAATGGAATTGATGCCAGAGCATGATGAAGTTAGTAATGTTATTAAAGAAGTTGTTGATATCGCCCAGCAAATAAATTTAGAAGTTGATAGTGATGACGTTGAAGAACCGTTGAATTCCCACAATCAGGAGCTGACAATAGATGACCTCATAGAAATGCACGAGGAAAAACAAGACATTAAAGACCTTGAGTGTTTGCTTGTGAGCTTAAAATCCAGTTCAAACTTAGGATCAAATGACGATTGGAAACTTGATTGAAGGCCTTAGTTTAATTGAAAAGAGATTAAAATTTTCAAAAAATATAGACCACAACGAAGAGCGCATTTCTTCTACCAAACAGGGGATAAAAAAATTATTAGTCTGCTATGAAGAAATTTTGTGAGAAAAAAAAAATCTTTAAGTCTTCAAACTATTTTGTTAGATTTTATAAAGCTTTCTACATCAAAATAAATTGAATTGCCAATTTTATATTTGTATATTCTAAGATTTTAATAAAAATTTTTGTGTAAATTGTTATTTTTTCTTATCTTTCGGTCCCAATTAAAATAATTTATATACATACATATACGAAATTATACCCCGACTTACGCGAATTCGACTTTGCGATTATCACTCGATCTCACCTATCGCGTGAGTTCGGGGTATTACTGTACGTCATGAGTAGCATATTTTATTTAAAAAATAAATTGAACGAAATTTTTGTTCAAAAATTAATTACTCTTAAACAATGAAATAAATTCAACATTTCAACATCATTCAAAACAACAAACACGTTGAGATCTATTTTGTCCAAAACCAAACCTAACAATGAACAGGAAAGGACAAAGAATTGCATTTATAAAATACCTTGTGAATGCGATCAGTTTTATTTAGGTGAAACATCAAGACCATTAAATGTTAGAATAAGTGAACATCAATCTTATATTAAAAATAGAGAATTTGATAGATCTCAAATATGTAAACACGCATGGGATAATGAACATAGGGTTCAATGGAATAATTCAAATGTAGTCCTAAA